ATCTGGGTAGATTTGCCAGTTGTTCCCCAAGTCCCTCTCAACCCAAGAATGCCCCAAAGGAAACCAACTCAGAAGAATAAAAGCTCCCACCTTTATTATGGGGGCTTCCAGAGCTGGACAGAAGATTGCTGCAGGAATGGATTTAGATGGCCCTGACCCTTTTCCTGGACATAGAACCCAGGCTTTCTCTCTGTGGCCAAGTTGGCTCTACACCATCTTTCTTCATGCAAGTATCCCTAAAATCCTGGGCCAGGCCAGACCCCAAGGCTGAGCTGGCAGGGTGATCGGATGGCAGACAGGCCTCTCGGAGCTCCAGTTGTTCGTGTGAGACCTGCTGAGTTGCCTTCCTTGATCTGTAGCTTAGGTCTTTGGGGTTGTAGGCATGAGCCCAGCACTCAGGGTTACAGAGAACGTGACACCACCAAAGAGAGGCTGACCCCCATCCCAGCAGGTTGAAGAACACATTAGGAAGACATGAGACTGGGACCTCCTAGAAAGGGGAGGGGGGAGCCGTGTGGCCCAGCGAGATGCCCAGGCAGGTGGGCAGGTAGGAACTGGAGGTTCGGGGTGGGGGATGGGGGGGTCACTTCTTCTTGGCACGATCTGCTGCATCCAGGGCAGCCATGTTGCGGGCAGCTGTGATGAGGTGGATCACGCTGATGACTGACTTGAGAAAGGCGATGGGGGCCGTGATCCAGAGACCCAACCGGAAAAGGCCCACGGAGCCGACTGGGGGGGTGAGGGAGAGAGGGGCCAGCATCAGGGAGAGAGAAAGAATCAGACCATGGAATCAAGGCTCAGAAACCAACACCTTTGTCTCCCCAGGCAGGGTGGGGACCTCTTCCCCCCTTCCAGCCTAAGCCCCTCTCTCCTCTTACCTAAGGGTCCCTCGGAGAAACTGAACAGGTAGAGGAGGCAGTAGAAGAGTTCGTTCCCAGCACACAGGGTGAAGAGTGCAGGCTGCACACATAAAGCTGTTTAAGGGAAAAGCAGGGACCGGCACCACCCCACATCTACACCCCAACAAGGCCTGTACCCCTGGGGGAGGGAGGGAGGGCGGGGACAATGTCCTTAGCAGCAGGTTAAAATTCACACTCTGGCCATGAGCTAGTGGCTCACACCTGTTACCCGAGCTACTCAGGAGGCTGAGATTTGAGGATCAGGGTTCAAAGCCAGCCTGGGCAGGAAAGGCTGTGAGAGTCTTATCTGCGGAAAAAGTACTCAGAAAAATCAGGAACACTGTGGCTTAAGGGGTACAGTGCTAGCCTTGAGCATGAAGAGGTTCAGGGACAGTGCCCAGGCTCTGAGTTCAAGCCTCAGGACCAGCAAAAAAAAAAAAAAAAAATCCACACTCTGTTCCTTCTGGCTTATTCCCTTTGCTCTCCAGCCATAGCTCCTCCCCTGGGGTATGCAGGGGCCCTTTGGGCAAGTATTCATTTAGGCACCAATACCTTATTCCACCATGCACCAGCCCACAGGCTGCTCCTTTCTGTTCTCTGCTACTGCACCCTCCCGACCTGGTTCCAGGGTGCAGCCCAGAACCTTCCATCACTGAGTGTGATGGGGAAGAGCAGGAAACACTTACTCTGGAGCAGGGGGAGGGGCAGGAAACACTTACTCTGGAGGTGTAGTAGATACGAAGCACCGGATTCCCAGAAAGGTCAATCATCTTGTGACTCTCACTGCCTCGGACCACAGAACTTAGGGAGAAAATGCATGAGTTTGCATTGCTACTAGACTCCACCCTAACCCTACCATGAGTCCTATGGGCTGGTAGTAGGTACCAGGAGCGGGTCCCAGGACTGCTTCCATTCTACAGCTGGAAAACAGGGATGCAATTGAAAGCCACACAATTCCCTAGGTGGGAGCAGAGTCAGGATTCGATGTTCCATTCAGAAGCGCCCCCCCACTGCCTCCCATTTGGAATTCTACATCATCTATTGGCACTGTGGCTCACACCTGTAATCCTAGCTATTCAGAAGGCTGAGATCTGAGAACCACAATTCAAAGCCAGCCAGGGCAGGAAAGTCCAGGAGACTCTTATATCCAATTATCTTGCCCTCCATAAAAAGCCAGAAGTGGAGCTATAGCACAGGTGGTAGAGCGCCAGGCGCTGAGTTCAAGCCCCAAGACTGGCATCAAGAAAAACAAAACAACCCAAAAATGTCCTGGGAAATTTCCTAATGCCAACTATAAAAAATATGGCAGAACCGATTCAGAGAGATCGGCCATGCATCCACAAAACAGAACGATCCGATCCCCTCCCACCGGTTACTTCAATTTAATGGGTCAGTAGGTGCCCACAGAAACAAAGCAGACCTGTGCAGATGCAGCCAATGACTGGCCACATCCAAGCTCATGCTGAGCTGGAAGAGAAGCGTGGCTCGAGGGTACAGCAGAGCCAGGTTGACCAATAAACACATGGTAGAACAGCGGTCTGTCAACATGTCCAGCATGGCCCCAAACCGGGTTCCTAAAAAATGAACAAAAACAAAAAAGAATCCAGTAGTACTTGGTGTGTTGTTCTGGTGCTCGGTTGAAATGTCCACAATCTACCCACAGCTGTCAGATGGGCAAGGCCAGGACATGGAGTAGGGAGTGGGAGGGAGCAGTTCTAAACTCCAAAACCAAATCCAGGGCAAGGCCAGGCCAGGTAAGCCTCACAAAGAAGTCTCAGAAGTCTTAGCTGGAGAGCAGATTAATGGCTCTGTCAACTCTCTGGAAGTCACTGGCTTCCCTCCCCACCCCCATCTCAATCTGCCTTCTGGAATGTGACCTCCGTCCAGCCTGGGTTCAGGACACAGGAGGCCCTAGCAAAACACCTGTTGAATGGGATTATTTCCGAGAGACCTCATGGCATGGCCAGGGTCCTGTCCAGACTCAGTAAATCCACATCCCTCACAAGCAGGGCATTCCCAAGAGTTTAGTTGCATCCCTTCTGCTACAAACTCTGCCCATTCTGTGTTTCTCTTTCTTTCTTTTTGACAGAGAGGGGGGAGGACGGAGCTGTCAGGACTCTGAGGTTCTGGGGTGGAGAGAGGAACAGGGGAGTTGTTGGGTCTCAGGGCTGGCCGGTAGGAGGTAGCCGTCACCTTGATTAAGGGCTCGAGCTGCGTGTCCATCGAAAGCGTCCAGAAGTCCGCTGAGCAGATAGAAGGAGGAGGCCGTGAGCGGGCAGCAGGGCATGAAGTAGAAAGAAATGATGGCGAAGACGATCCGAGCATAACCTTGGTTGAGAGATCAGGAGAAACAGCACGGGATCAGAGAAGCCTGCTCAAGGCCCGCGGCTCCCCCACCCTCGGGACTTGGGGGGCGCACTCACCGATGAGGTTAGGCACGAAAAGGAAGATGTTTTCTCCGGGCATTGCGGTGGTCCCCTTGTGGCCCAGGGCCAGCTCTGGAGGTGCTAATGTGCTCCCAGTCCCGCCTGCTCGGCCTCACCCTCCACCCCGGCGCATGGGCCCCGACAGCGGCGCTCCGGACCCCTCGGACCTCGTCCGGCTCCAGATGTGAAAGCTGCCAGCAGGCCGGAGCATGGGCGGCTCAGAGGTGCGCGAGGCGCCAGGGGCTCGCCCCCCCGCCCTGGCGATGGACAGCGCCTCGCCCCCTAGCAACGATCCCTGCAGCTCCAGCGGGGCTCGGCTTCCGCGCACCCACTCCCTCGCCCCGCTTCGTGGAAAAGAAAAAAGAAAAAGGAAAAGTGGAGAAGGGAGAAAAGAAGCCTAGAGATTAAAAAAAAAAAAAAAAGTCTGCGGCTCCTTTAAGACCTGCCTGCTTCCTTTTCCTTTCTCTGCCTCCGCCCCCTTTACAGCGGCTCGTACCAAAAATCCAGAGAGGAGGGGAGGGAACCAAACAACCCTGGAGCCAGGCAAAGGAAAGAACTGAAAAGGGGAGGAGCGAAGGAGAAGGAGACGCAAATAGAAACCTCTAATTTGATGGTTTCGGAGGTCACAATGTCGTAGAGACGAAGCTGAGGCGGGAAGGTTCCACCCTCCTGAGTCTTCGCCTCCCCCAGACGCGAGGCTACTTGGTACAGTCCGCATTTTCTTTTCCCCGCCCCCTGAGCCTCAGACCGAGTTTGCTCCGGCCGGCAGGGAAGTGGCGGCTAGAGAGTCCGCCGAGCGCTGGGGGCGGGGCTGCTTCTGGCCTCGGGGGCCCCTAGTGGCGGGAGGATTAGATCCCAGACTCCACCCTGCGTCATCTCCCGCTTCAGGGTCCCCAGCTGGCCGTCCCCGCCTCCGAGGAGGCCAGGTCTGGAAGGGGAGGCGGGCGGAGCACACGGGGCATGCTCGGAAAACGCCCCGGCTTTGATTCTAGAACCTCTGAGCTCCTAGCAACCGGGCGGTAGAACCCCTCGCAAACATTAGGCTTTTATAGTAATCGGAGCGCCGCCGTCCTGGTTACCCCTCTCTTCAACTCCCCCCCCCATTCCCAGTTCTGATTTCCCCCTCCCTTCCCCCTCCCCCGACCCAAAATCAGGGTCCCCCCCCCCCCCCCCCCCCCCCGTCTACCTCTCTTGTCTCCCCCCCTCCTGCCTAGTAGCCCAAGATCCCGACCCGTTTTCCAGGTCGGGGCAGCAGATTGGCTGCCAAAGTCTTGGGAAGGATCTTGGCAGGGGGAGGAGGTCACTGTGGGGAGTCCCCTCGCCCCCCAAAAGTATAAGGCATCAGTCCAACCCCCCCCCCCCCCCCCCCGCCCAACCCCGTGTGTGTGTGTGTGTGTGTGTGTGTGTGTGTGTGTTCCGGTCTTGGAGCCTGAGGTCTTTTTTGCTTAAGGCTAGCACTCATCACTTGAACCACAGCTCCACTTCAGACTTTTTAGGGGGTTGTTTGGGGATGAGTCTCATGGACCTGTGTCTCAAGGGCTTCCAACCACTGTGTGCAGATCTCAGCTTCCTGATAGCAAGGACTAGGATCATGGGTCATGAGTCCTCAGCACTGCCTGGCTAGTCTGTCTGTCTGTTTGTTTGTTTTCATGGATGGAGGGTGTTTTGGCTGAAGGCCTTCAGTTAAACCTGGGCTCTGGGAATGGCTGGAGGAACGGGGCCCTGGGGGAAATGAGTAGATTTCTCCCATCTCATAAAGGCTTCCACTGTTCCCAGAGGGATGGCATCCACTCCCATCAAGAATGAGGAGAAAAAGCAAAGCCGGCCACCTCAAGCTGCAGCCTCCCGGCCGGTGAGCATAGAGGGGCCTTATGAGTTGGACAGCTCCTAGACAGAGATTTTGGTCCTAAGCCCTGAATCCCACAACCACTGCATCCCTGATCCTCTCCTAGCCATAGCAGATCCCCCAGAAATCTTTTCCTGGGTCTCCTACCTCACTGCCAGCCTCCACATAGTGACCCTGCTCACTAACCTAGCCAGTACATGACACAACATTCAACTCTCCAATTCCAGACTCCTCAGTCCCACAGTGACCAGACCCCAAAGCTTCTAGGCAAAGGGGAGATCCCAGGCTGAGATCCGCTGCCTTTTCCTTTCTCAGAAGGTTTCAGTATCCCGTTCTGAGGAATTCCTGACCCGGATCAGCACAGAACTCACTGATGAGGCCTTATGTATTGCTGGCTGTGTGAACCCGGTGCCGCCTGTCAAGGAAAAGCAAACAAAAGACCAAGGGACTCAGATCTCCAGACACGGTGATCCCCCCCCCCCCCCCCCTGCTTCAGTCCCACTGTATCTTAACACTTTCCCAGGCAATGAGCTGGTAGCTCACACCTGTCACCTTTGTCATAGATCTTGGGAAAGTGATTGGAAGCCATCTCAGGCAGGAAAGTCTGTGAGACTCTTAAACTCCAATTAACCACCAGAAAAGCCAGAAGTGAAGGTGTGGCTCAAGTGGTAGAGTGCCAGCCTTGAGTGAGAGAGCTAAAAATGACAGTGCCCAGACCAATACCACCATATGCGCACACGCACCCTCCCATACCCACAAAACAACAACAAGACCCCACCAAGACACCCCCCCCCCCCAGTCCCTGATCCTCTCTCTTCCAGACATAGCTAATCATCCAGAAATCTATTCCTGGGTCTCCTACTGCATTGCCAGACCTCCTTACAATGCTTCTGCTCACTAACCTAGTCCCTACATGTCACTGCTGATCAGGACTTGTCTTGATCGCTTCTGCCCTAGCCACATCTCTTTCTGGTCATGGGGATCATTTTTTTTTTAACTGGGGCCTCTTCTTCCAGCATTGTTCACCAATACGCGAGGCACAGACACCCGGTGAGTGAGGCTTTGTCCTGGGAGAAAGATGAGGGAGAACGGGAGATGACATCCCAACAGGGCAGGAGAATTCTGAACTATGAAATTCTCTTCTGCCCAGAAACTGAAATTCAGAGTTCTTAGCCTTCTTCCTTTTCTACCATCTCCAGTTCTGACAAAAACCGTACTCGAAACAAGGCACATCTCCTGCCATCTCCTCGTGAAAAGGTGTGTTAAAGGCCATTTAGTTTGTATGACAAGCCAGTGCCTGTATTAGGAGCTTGGGAGACAGAAATGAGGATATAGCCGAGCACCAGTGGCTCACACCTGTAATCCTAGCTACTCAGGAGGCTGAGATCTGAGGATCGTGGTTCAAAGCCAGCCCAGGCAGAAAAGTCTGTGAAACTCTTGTCTCCAATAAACCACCAGAAAACCGGAGGTGGTGCTGTAGCTCAAGTGGTAGAGCGCTTGCCTTGAGCTGAAGAGCTGAGGGATAGCACTCAGGCCCAGAGTTCAAGCCCCACGACGGACAAAAAAAGAAAAAGAAAGAAAGAAAGAAAGAAAAGAAGTGAAGGATATAGTTTCAGCCCTTGAAGAATTCAGTTTAGACACTGGTGGCTCACACTTGTAATCCTAGCTACTCAGGAGGCTGAGATCTGAGGATCAAGGTTCAAAGCCCATCCAGGCAGGAAAGTCCCTTAGTGGAAACTCAAATCTTCAGTTAATCAGCAAAAAGCTGTGGCTCAAGTATTAAACATCAGCTTTGAGTGATAAAGCTAAGGACAGCACCTCAATTCAAGCTCCAGTACCAGCACAAGAACAAAACAAAAATTCAGTGTGTAGAAGTAAATGGTTATTTACAATGTTGGGTAAATGCCCATAATAGAAATGAGAACAATAAGAAGGCTGTTTATAGTCCACCTTCAACTGGGACAGGAAGGAAAGGAATCATGGAACTTCCTGAAGGAAGAGACACCCAAAGAAAGAATCTTCCAGCAAACCAAGGGCTAATAGGGGTAATTCCATACAGTAGGGACTGCATCATTAAAGACAGAGATGAGAAATGTTTGCAGGTGGCTCACGCCTATAATCCTAAAATATTCAGGAAACTGAGATCTGAGAATTTCAGTTCAAAGCCAACCCAGGTAGAAAAGTCTGTCAGGTTCTTATCTCCAGTTAATCAGCAAAAAAAAATTCTAGAAGTAGAGTTGTGACTCAATTGGTAGCGCACCCGCCATGAATGAAAAAGCTATGGGTGAGAGCACAAGGTCCTGAATTCAAACACTGTACAGCACAGAAAGAAAGGAAAAATAAGAAAGTCTTACTGGGAAGGTGGCTCAGTGGTAGAGCGCTTGCCTTGCATGCATGAGGCCCTGGGTTCGATTCCTCAGCACCACATAAGCAGAAAAAGCCGGAAGTGGGGCTGAGGCAGGCAGGGTAGACAAGACCCTGTGCATGCCTGGTAGAGATCTGAGGTTTTTTATAGATGAAGAGTCCTTGAAGAGCTTCTGTAAGAGAGGCATAAATGTTTTGTTTTAGTAGTACTGGGTTTTTGGTTGTTTTTTGTTTTTTTTTTTGGTCGGTCGTGGGGCTTGAACTCTGGGCCTGGGCGCTGTCCCTGCGCTCTTCAGCTCAAGACAAGCACTCTACCACTTGAGCCACAGCGCCACTTCCGGTTTTCTGGTGGTTTATTGGCGATAAGAGTCTCACAGACTTTTCTGCTCAGGCTGGCTTTGAACTGCGATTCTCAGATCTTAGCCTCCTGAGTAGCTAGGATTACAGGCATGAGCCACCGGCACCTGGCTACTACTGGGTTTTAACTCAGAGCCTTAGCCTTGTTAAGCAAATGCTCTATCACTTTAGCCACTATTTTTTTAAAAAGATGTTTTATATATTTTATTTTTTCCTTTTTCTTTTCTTTTGTCAATCATGGGGCTTGAACTCAGGGCCTGGGTGCTGTCTCTGAGCATTTTTTACTCAAGGCTAGAGCTGTTCTACTTTGAGCCACAGCGCAACTTCCCATTTTCTGATGGTTAATTGGAAATAAGAATCTTATGGGGAAGTAGTGTTGTGGCTCAAGTGGTAGAGCGCTAGCCTTGAGCTGAAGAGCTGAGGGGACAGCACCCAGGCCCAGAGTTCAAGCCCCACGACCACCACCAACAACAACAAAAAGAATCTTAGGGACTTTCTTGCTCAGGCTGGCTTCGAACCGTGATCCTCAGTTCTCAGCTTTCTGTATAGTTAGGATTATAGGTGTGAGTCACTGGTCCCTGGCTGGTTTAGTCTTTTTTTTTTCTTTTTAAATTTTGGTCGGTCGTGGTGCTTGAACTCTGGGCCTGGGCACTGTCCCTCAGCTCTTCAGCTTAAGGCCAGCACTCTACAGCATCACTTCCGGTTTTCTGGTGGTTAATTGGAGATAAGAGTCTCAGGGATTTTCCTGCCTCGGCTGGCTTTGAACTTCGATCCTCAGATCTCAGGCTCCTGAGTAGCTAGGATTACAAGACATGAGCCACCGGCACCTGGCTGTTGTATTCTTTTTTTAAGTATAATTTTATTGTTATTATTAAGGTATGAACCTGAGGTTCATATTTGCAGCTGAGAATGAGCTCAAGGAGCTGACTCTCTAGGGCCTTTGAAACACCGGGGCTCTCCCAGCTGGGCTGGTATTAGAAAGAGCTCGAAGTAGCAGAAAAAAGCTTGGCACAGTGGCTCATACCTGTAATCCTAGCTACTCAGGAATCCAAGCAGAAAAGCTAATCCAAGCAGAAAACCGATAAGATTCCATCTCCAAAATAACCAGCAAAAAGGTATAGCTTAAACGGGAGAGGGCCAGCAAAGCAAAATCCAGTAACAGCAAAAAGAAAAAAATAAGAGTTAAGTGGAGCAATGGGTAAAGAGGTGGAATAGGAAGTAAAAATTCACTGAACCCGTGTGTCATCCCCATCCTAGGAGTTGGAGTATAGCAGTTAGCAAAACAGAATCTTTGCTGTTGAGTTCCTTTGTGGGGAGGGGGAGGTAATGACTGGAGAGAAGAGAGAGTGGGTGGGTGTATAGCAGATGGATGGAGGAGTTGAAAGATGGATGAGGATGAGGAGTAACAGATAGTTTGTAGATGGAAGTTGAATATGGGTTGGAGGGGTGAATAGATGGGAATGGTAGATGGAAAATGGAAGGATGGCAAGATAACAAGATAATCTGGATCTTAGGTCTAAAAAGTCAAAGATGGCTAGGAATGTGGCTTAGTGGTAGAGTGCTTACTTAGCATGCATGAAGCCCAAGGTTTGATGCCTCAGTACCACATACACAGAAAAGGCTGGAAGTGGTGTTGTGGTTCGAGTGCTAGCCCTGAGCTAAAGAAGCTCAAGGGACAGTGCCTAGGCCCTGAGTTCAAGCCCCAGGACTAGCAAAAAAAAAAAAGTCACAGATTGTGGGGCACTGTGGTGCCTCACACGTGGAAGTCTATCTATACAGGAGGTTGAGATCTGAGGATCGAACTTAAAAGCCAGCCCGGGCAAGAAACTCTGTGAGACTTTTATCTCCAATTAATCAGAAACAAACAAACAAACAGAACGTCAAAGAAGAGCTGTGGCTCAAGTGATATTCTCTTTCAGGGAGCTCGCACAGCAGCTTGACCACTGGGGGATGAACCCTACTTCCGGCCTCTTCTGCCCTCCTTCCCCCATTTTGTCCTCCTGGAGCATGCAACTTGTTACGTACTCCTTTGAGAGGGATCCCTGCTCACACCTGAAGCCAACAAATGGCTCTAGAACCATCACGGGACTCTCCATTCTCTGCCAGCAAGGACAGCACTAGGAAAAGCGTTTTAATAAAGAGTTGGGGACCCTATCTTCCTGGCAGCTCACACCAGTGATTGCGCTCATGTGGCGTCTCTGGAGTGGAGGTGAGGGAGGAGAAGTGGATGCTGGGTGGGTTATTGGAGGGCAGTTATGATCACTCTAGTGGCAGTGGTTGGCTGCCAAACTGGTATCTGGCAGCCATGTCTGTGGCATCTGTGAGGCCCAACTCACTTGGAGGAGCAGCATCAGTGCCACCATGGGTACTGAGGATCCTGAGCTGCTGTCTCTTCTCCAAGCTTTGGAGTCTCCCCAGACCTATCCTGTATGGGACACACTGCACTCATTTCTAGCCAGAAGTCCAAGCGATCAGCTCTGGACTTTACATTGCAGTCCCAATTTCCTTCTTTTAAAAGCACAAATGAGCCAGGCACGGGTGGCTCCCGCCTGTAATCCTAGCTACTCAGGAGGCTAAGCTCTAAGAATCTTGGTTTGCACCCAGCCCAGGCAGGAAAGTCTGTGAGACTCTTATTTCCAATGAATCACCAAAATGCAACAAAAGAAGAAAAGGAAATTAACTGCCCCCCAAAAAAGGTTTGGGTTTGGGGAGAGAATGGTATACTTGAATGGCTACAAAAGTTCTTCCAAGGGGTCTGAACTTTGGGGAAACCAGTCATGAAAGAAATGGGAAGTGTCTACCTCCTGACAATCAGCCTGGCAATGTCAAGGTGTGGCTTATGAGTGGCAAGTAGTTCTCAGAGCCTGAGCCTCAAGCCGGAGTATGAGACTGTGTGTGTGTGTGTGTGTGTGTGTGTGTGTGTGTGTGTGTGTGTGTGTGTGTGTGTAAGAGAGAGAGAGAGAGAGAGAGAGAGAGAGAGAGTGAGAGAGAGAGTCCTGGGCTTGAACTCAGTGTCTGGTTGCTTTCCCTGAGCTTTTTTGATCAAGGCTGGCTCTCTACTGCTTGAGCCATAGCTCCGCTTCCAGCTTTTTGGTGGGCAATTGGAGATGAGTCTCACAGACTTTCCTACCCTGGGGCTGGGAAGGTGGCTCAGTGGTAGAGCGCTTGCCTTGCATGCCTAAGGGCCTGGGTTCGATTCCTCAGCACCACATAAGCAAAAAGAAAAAAGCCAGAAGTGGCGCTGTGGCTCAAGTGGTAGAGCGCTAGCCTTGAGCTGAAGAGCTGAGGGACAGCGCCCAGACTCAGAGTTCAGGTCCCACGACTGGACCCAAAAAACAAACAAACAGACTTTCCTACCCTGGCTGGCTTTGAACCATGATCCTCAGATCCAGCCTCCTGAATGGCTATAATTATAGTCGTAAGCCACCAGCGCCCAGCTCAGGCCAGGCTTTCTGACCCAGGCCAGAACAATGCTTTTGTCTAGTGTTCTGTTTTGGATTTCCATCTTTCCACCCTTCCCTAAAGTCTCTTTCCAGAGGGGTTTACCATAGCACCCCAGTTACAAGTAATGATTTTCCGTTTATTGCTCAAAAACAAAAATCCAGAAGCAAACAAAGGTGGAAAGATCATGGGGAGACTGCGGGGGGGGGGGGGGGGGAGAGGAGGAAGAGGGTAGCCCTGGCCAGGCTCTCTCCCCTCATTTGTCTTCCGGCCCACCAATCAGGCATCAAGGAGGAGAGGGGCCCTCACAACTGAGGGGGACAGTAGAGCTGTTGGGGTGTGTGTGGGGGAAGTTGAGGGAAAGGGGCCCTGGGCTTCAGGGACCCCAAAGGTGGTAAGGGGGCTGAGTTTCCCTCCCAGGGTCCATAAGCCATTGGGCAGGGGGGTGAGGGGTGCCAGGCCCCTTGTTTGGCAATGGAGAAGAGGCAGCCTTGGGCGGCAGGATGCTGGTTTGTTTACTGTAGGCTCTTCAGGGCCATGAAGCCCCCTCATTGGGATAGGGAGACTATTTACACAGCAGGGGGGGAGAGGAGTCAGGAGCCGGCCACCAGGTCCTGTGTTCCCCCACTGCCTCGGATGAGGAGGGGAGGGGTATTCTGGGTCCTGCAGCCTTCGTCTTGGGGTTCATATGGAAACTTCATATTCCCGCGTATCCTGGAGACAGAGAGATCAAGTCAGTTGCTGGAGTAAAGTGGAGGTGGTGAAGGCAGCAAATGGGAAGGGAGGCTTCCATAAGGAGGGAAAAACCCTATATTAAAGTAACGTTGGGGGGCTGGGAAGGCGGCTCAGTGGTAGAGTGCTTGCCTCCCATGCATGAGGCCCTGGGTTCAATTCCTCAGGATCATATAAGCAGAAAAAGCTGGAAGTGGTGCTGTGGCTCAAGTGGTAGAGTGCTAGCCTTCAGCTGCAGAGCTGAGGGACAGCGCCCAGGCCCAGAGTTCAGGCCCCATGACCAACTAAAAACAAAAATAATAAATAAAGTAACTTTGGTGGAGAGGGCTGAATCTGTCCAATGGCTATGTTTAGGTCATCAGATAGAATAAAAAATGGGCCAGGCTTTGGTAACTTATGCTTAAGATCCTAGACACTTAGGAGGCTGAGATCTGAAGATCGACAAAGCCAGCCCAGGCAGGAAAGTCTGTGAGACTCTAATCTCCAATTCACCACCAAAAAATGGCTCCAAAAATGGAGCTGTGGCTCAAGTGGCGGAGCACCAGCCTTGAGAGAAAACGCTAAGGGACAGTGTCCAGGCACACACACACACACACACACACACACACACACACACACACACACACGCACACACACTCCAAATGACATATTTGATACTTGGATTTCTGGATTGAACTAGAAAAATCTCGAAATTGAGCTTAAGCATCCACTGTGGCAGCTGTGTCCTTAGACGGGACACACATTTTCTAATTTGCCACCCCCCCCCTCATTGTTCCCACATAGCTAAGTCAACCCACTGCTATGGCCTTCATGGGCAGCTGACTTTGCAATGACATGTTCTGAGAAGAGTCTGGGGTAGCTGTGGTACTGTGGGAGGCAGGGCGGGGCTCACCCCAGCTTCATACAGTGGATTACTGAAGTCAGACTCCACAGTGATGGGACTGTAGGAGTGGGAGCCGGAGAAGCCAAAAAGGGATTTGCCTTGTAGCCTGCAGAAGAGAGGAGACAGGATCTTCTCAGCAGGTAAGCCAGGAGACATGGTATTTGCCCCTGGTGGGCACTTCCCCCAGTGGGGTACTTACTTGGTGTAATATACATAAACACCACTGCCAAGAATAATAACTAAGCTGAGGGGCAGCAGGATGGCCAGGGCGAGGTTTCCGCCTTCCAGTTGCCGTGATGGGTCTGTGGTCTGCGTCACTGGGGAGGAGGAGGAGAAGAGACCAATGAGCCAAGGCTGGCCCAGTACTAGGCTCTCCCAGCCTCCTACCCTGGGCCCTGAACCCTAGGCCTCGCCCCTCTGGGGCCTGGCCTCACTGCCCCCGGCCTCTACTTTGCCCTCCCGACCTGGCCAGGCCTGGTCTCCACCTGTGGCCTCACTGACCTTCCAGTTTTCGGTTGTCCAGGAGCTCCTCATAGGCCACTGCAGGGAGAGGAGGGGGAGGGGGACGGGGTCTGAGCCAGGGAGGGAAGGAGGCCGGGGAGAGGGCCGGAGCCCGGTGGGGCTGGGCTGGATAGTCTGGTTCTCTCTGTGCTTTGCTCAACCTAAATTAAGCCTTCTCTTGGTGAGGACCAAGGACAGATAGGGCAGGGCCATCTCCTTCTTCCTCTACATCCCTAAGGGTTCAGGTTCCTGGACAGTCTGAGCCAATCAGCTCATTAGGGTTTGTCAAATAGGGAAACTGAGGCCTCTCCAGAGAAGACAAGGGGGCTTCCAGACCAAAGCCCCCTCTACTACATGATGTAATAGAGGGTATCTCCAGTATCTTCAGGACCTCTAGATATGCCTTGGAGGAAGAGAATCCATAGCACAGGAAGCCCCACAGGGTCACCCATTGGTCTCCAATTTTCTACCCAGCTTTCCCAGCCCTGTCCACTCGCTGGACCCTCTTGCCCTGTCCTTCTTGGGCACCTTTGCAGAGCGGGGGCTGGCTGGTCCACTGTGAGGGGTGGCCGGGCACACAGGTGATGGTGACCTCGCCGATCAGCTCAAAGCCCTCATAGCAGAAGAAGCGAAGAGACTCGCCCGCCTGGTAGTGATGCTTGTACAGTGTCTGGTAGCCATTCTCAGGGACGCCGGGGTTCAGGCATGGCTCGTACTTCACTGCAGGAAGGGGGCCAATCAGATGAGCAGGTGCAGTCCCGGGAGCCCATAGGCTCCTCCCCCAGCCCCTCCCATTCCTGAGGTGAGGTATTCCCCTAGACTCACAGGCGCATTTGGGGACCCGGTCGCTCCACTTGGGTGTGCCTGTGTCCCGGCTGTAGCAGGTGAGCACAGCTGCGCCCTCCAGGCTGTACCCTGGCAGACAGCGGTACTGGACATGAGAGCCCACGGGGAAGCCGGCATCCGAGGTGGTGCGGTGGCCATTGGTGATCTCACCAGGGTCAGCACAAGTCACGACTGTGGGGGAAGAAGAAAAAGGTTGGGGGAGGGGAACGAGGCGCTTAAAGATCTCCTAGACACTTAGGATTTAGGGAGAGCTCTGAATTTGGGGCCAACTCCTCAAAAGGAAGCGTACAAGAATGGAAAAATTCAATCTTTCAATTCAATGTGGTTTGTGTTTTAGGTTGTTTCAGGGAAACAGGGTGGGTTAGGCAACCCCCAGCCTCTTGTCCCGGGGTAAAATTCAAAGTATTTTCATTGTTACGCTAGAGTATACCAAGCCAGATTCCAGAAATGTCAGGCCAGTATAGCAGGCCCATGGGATCACAGCTGCCGGTGTGTGTGTGTGTGTGTGTGTGTGTGTGTGTGTGTGTGTGTGTGTACAGGCCTGCGTGCAAGCCAGTCCTGGGGCTTGAACTCAGGGCATGGGTGCTCTCTCCGAGCTTTTGGGCTCAAGCCTAGCACTCTATCACTTGAGCCACAGTTCCACTTCTGGCTTTCTTTGGAAGTTAATTGGAGAAAAGAGTCTCATGGACTTTC